CCCCCCCCCCCCCCCCCCCGTGCAATGACTCAGACACACACACACACACAATCAGTTTTAGGTATGTTTGTTTTTCCTCTCTCTTATTGTTTCTAAGTACTTTTTTTGTCTCTAGCCGAGCACCCTTTAGCAGTGCGAAACAGTCGGGTGGTTCCTCGTTTGGAGTGCCAACTGCACTCTTAGGGGGGCCGCTTGGTTCAGGATGTCTGTGTTGCCTGTCGGTGATGACGGATGCTCATCGGAGTGACTCCCTGGCTCAGTGGTGGTGGGAACCAACAGTCTGTGGGGTTCAGTCGTGATGTGAGTAGGTCATGTGCTGCTTTGCTTCGTGTTGGAAGTGTGGATGGCCTCACCTGCACTCCGCTGCTGCCCTGCTGCCTGTCTGCTCCACGGTTGCCGAATCGCTGGTCTGCTTGCCCTGTCATCGCTTGCAGCGTGGTTGCCTTGTTTGTGTTGCCTTGTGCTTCACTACACGGTTGCGTTGCTGCATGTCTCACGTGCCATGTTGTTCCTTGCAGTCGTTATTGGCGTTGTGCAGCCGTGTTGCCTCTACTGTGTTGCCTGGTGCTCCACAGGGTTGCTGCCCGCTGCTTTGTTCCGCTTGGGGACAGTCTGCCTTCAACATGGGTCAAAGGGTTCATGACCCAAACCATCAAATACGGAGATTCCACAGATTGTCGAGGGTTCAGCCTCCTGATGAGTCGGTGCAACTCCAACGAAACAATCTTTCATCATCTGTTTATTTATTTATTTATTTATTTCAGTCTTTGCCTTGTTTATACTTGTATTTTTTTTGGGTGTTGTTTTTGCATTGTTGTCGTTTGTCTTGCAGTTGTTTCCCTCGCCGCCTTATGCTGGTTGCTTGCCCATTTGTCTACCCCATGCCTTTCACCCAGCCAAAAGAAGAAGAAGAAGAAGGCATTGCTGCCAAGAAGAAGAGTGTAAGCGCCATAGCCGCACACATAGCCGCAATGGATGGCGGCGTGAGCAGGAAAAAAGAAGAAGAAGAAGAAGAAGAAGAAGAAGAAGAAGAAGAAGAAGAAGAGGAAGAAGAAGACATTGCTGCCAAGATGAAGAGTGTAAGCGCCATAGCCGCACACATAGCCGTCATGGACGGCGGCATGAGCAGGAAAGAAGAAGAAGAAGAAGAAGAAGAAGAAGAAGAAGAAGAAGAAGAAGGGATTATTGTGAAGAAGAAGAGTGTAAGCGCCATAGCCGCAGACATAGCCACCATGGCCGGCGATGTGAATCTGTTCTTTAACGACATCGATGATCCACATGCTGCGGAGATTGAGGTGATGGTGGCAGAAGAGCGAAGCCGGTGAAAGGGAATCGCAAGGGAAGCGTTGAGGTTGATGATGTTGTATGCAATCAAACGCTTAGGGGTCCAGGTTTTCAGAGCCAAGATAGGTGACAGTAATCACCCATCATTAAGCCTATTTCACAGTCTGGGTTATGAGCAGGTAGCATGGAGCAGTGCGTTTCAAGAGAAGACTCTTGAGTGGAGAGTCAATCCAGAAAGCACCACAGTTCTTCAGCAATCTGTCGTCGGTGGCCGTGGGGATTTGATCACACGATCATACGAACGAGTCAGGGAGCAGTGCTTTTTTCAAGAGAAGACCTCTTGAATGGAGAGAGTCGATCCTGAGAACACAGCAGTTCCACGACAATCTATCGCCAATGGGAGCGGGGATTTGATCACACGACCATACACGAACGACGAGTCATGGACGGCTGCTTCTGAAGCGGCGCAGTTCATGCCCAAGCCTGTAATAATTATGAATACAAGGGGATGGGGGGAGGGAAGGAGGATGAGAAGAAGCAATGGAGGAAGAGGAGGAGAGCGTGGGGAAAGTGACATCCAGAGACAGGGAGAAGACGTGGGGAAGCAAACATGATTATGGGAAGCATGAGCCGATTATGCAAAAAGAAGAAGAGAGCAATCCTGGGATAGAAGTACGGACAGGACCGTTATGTACACCTCTCTCTCTCTCTCACACACACACACACACACACACACACACACGCACACACACACACACAC